TATTTCATTATAAATGCATTAATTGAGCGATGACGGTATTACGTTGAAATCTATCTATATGTATTGAAATAATATATATGTATATTATATATGTTTCAATATATTTATGACTTTCCATAGTTTCAGACAATCTTATATTATTGCTAACCTGACTAACTTGCACGTGTATGTTTTTTCGCTTTTTGTCGACTAACGTGTCTTCTAATATTTCAATTAACGTTTCTTTAATAAACAATTATATTAAAAACAAACAAAGAAGTTTTTTATCTTAAACAAGTTATGAGCCCAGAACGCTTAATAAATTGTTTAGAGAAAAAGTTATTTTGAAAAAAAAGAAAGAGATTGCAATTCGTGAATAAAAGAACTTTTCCAACTATCGTTGAAGCAAGAACGTCAATTTTTTTTCCTTCAAAATGGACTCAAAGCTTCAAATAAAACAGTTAAGTTGCGCAGCCGATTGGCCCATTTGGAAACATCGTGTTCGAGATTTCATGGACTACCATGAGGGCGCACTTGATGTGATTGATGGGAAGTTGTCGAAACCAGAATTACTAGAAAATCAAACAAAGCAACAGACAAAAGATTTAAAAATAAATCAGATCTGTTTAGAAAGGCAAACAGTTATGCCAAATCAGTAATTGCGAATGCACTCACAAAAGTTACATACCAAAAGATAATGGAAAAGAACAAAAGAAAAGTTTGGGAGGAATTAAAAAGAAATTTTGAAGCGTCAACTAAGGACCAACTGTTCCAAGTTTGTAGCAATTTTTTCGATTTCAATTGGATAGCGGATGTAGATGTATCCGGCCAAATTGCAAGATTGAAGACTTTATGGAACGAATTAAACAGTGGGCTTCAGGCATCGGGAGAAAATAAACTACCAGAGCTGCTATTAGTATGCAAAGCGATGCAGATTCTCCCAAATAGTTTCCAAAACTTCAAATCAAGTTGGCTAATGCTAGGTGAAGAAAAGCAGTCGATAGATGATTTAATCACTCATCTCTGTGCTTTCGAAAGAGAGATAAAGACTTTCGACATAATCGATAAATCATCAAGGCAGGACACCTTAGTTGTAAATGTTTCAATGTTAGTTGTAAAAGCCAAGTTTCAACAAATCAAGAGATTTCACTAAAAGGACAAAACCAGTTGGTAACTGCAACTATTGCCATAAACCTGGACACTGGGTTAAGCAATTTAGAAAGTGGGTCAGTGATGGAAGACCTTCTAAAAATTCCAAAAATGTTTCAGCGACACCAAGAAAAGCATATGATGAAACACCAAATGTAGTTTTGTGCACGTCAGCCAGTAATCAAACACTGAGAAACAACACTGAGTGGTATATTGACAATGGAGCAACAAAGCACCTAACGAACAATCCAGATAATTTTGTTACTTTTGAAAAGTGTGTCGCACCATGTTCCAAGCACCATGTCGCACCAAGCTGCAGGAAAAGAAGTTCTTGCTGCTGTGGGTAGAGGCGAAATAAATATGCTGTCAACAGTAAATAACAAGCAACAGTATATAAAACTCTCAGATGTCTAGTATGTTCCAAATATAGGTAGAAACCTGTTTTCCATATTAGCCGCACAAGATAAAAATTCAAAAAACAGCAAGTTTGAATCTTATGCAACCAAATTTCAACTCAGTATAAAGAACCGAGTGGTAGTACAAGGGACAAGACGAGTAGATGGTTCCTTGTATGAGACAAACTTGATTTCATTAACTCCAGATACACCGGCTGAAGTCAATATAGTCAGTGAAAATTCAATAATGCAGCTCTACCATAAATATTTTGGTCATCAAAATAAACGTCACATAAAGAATGTTATAGAAAAGGAGTTAAACATTAAAGTTCATCTTGACAAGGATTTGTGTGAACCATGTCTCTATGGTAAAGCACATCGGTTAAAATTTGGCAAGAGAAATGCAACCAATAAACCAGGTAAACTACTATCAGCAGATGTTTGTGGTCCTTTCAGTACAGAATCATTTAATAGTAAATGATATTTTGTTGTTTTCAAAGATCATTACAGCAAAATGAGGTTCATTTCTTTTCTTAGACACAAAAATGAAGTGAAACAGGCACTACAAAATATTTTGTCTCAAGCAGCGAATCAAGGTCATAAAGTAAAAGAATTTTTGAGTGACAATGGGGGTGAGTTTGACAACGAAGAAGTTCGAAACATCCTGCGCAGCCATGGAATCACGCAAAGACTAACAGCACCATATACACCTCAACAAAATGGTGGTAGTGAACGTGAAAACAGAACAATAGTAGAAATGGCACGCACATTGAAGTACTCAAATCCAGATTTTGAATTTCCAGTCGCTATGTGGGCTGAGTTATGTTCAACTGCAGTATATTTACTTAATCAAACAAGCAAGTCGTCGATTGAAGATAAAAGCCCATTTAAAATTTGGACAGGTAAAAAGCCGAGAATTAACCATTTGAGTGAGAATAATTGGCTCTACATGTTTTGTTCACACACCTCATCCAAAACGTAAGAAAATGGATAAGAAAGCCATAAAAGGTAACCATTGTTGGTAACGATGGTGACGAACGCTATCGCATATGGCTAAAAAATCAATATGAAATGGTATTCTCAAGAGATGATGTTTTCCAAGAAAAACCTAAGAAATGTACAGCATCTTTTGAACATAAGATTCCAAAAGATTCTGCAACAGATCCTCCAATCAATTGCAAATCAAAAAATAACTCAAGTAGTAGAAATGATGATTCAAAAGAAGAAATTACAGATGACACTGAGAAGATTATAGATAATTCAGTTAAAGTTCAACTCAGAGATAGGTCAAGCTTGCAGAAACCTAAGAAGTTAGATGATTATGTGATGCAGGCTGAGACATATTTATTAGATGTACATGAACCAGATACATACGAAGAAGCCATTCAAAGCAGGGAAAGTAAATATTGGAATGATGCCATGAATAATGAAATGAATTCATTAAACAAAAATAGAACTTGGAAACTTTGTAAGCTACCCAGAGGAGCTAAAGTTATTCCATGTAAATGGGTTTACAAAATAAAAACCTTGCCAGACGGAAGTGTAGATAGATACAAGGCAAGACTTGTGGCAAAAGGATTTTCACAACGAAAAAATGTAGATTAAAATCAGTCCAGTAGTAAAGTTGACTACAGTTCGCTCAGTACTAAGTATTGCAGCAAGTGAAAAACTGCATCTTCTTCAATTTGATGTATCAACTGCATTCCTGTATGGTGAACTTGATGAAGTGATCCACATCAAACAACCAAAAGGATATAATGATGGCTCAAATAAAGTTTGTAGATTGTTCAAAAGTCTGTATGGTCTAAAGCAAGCCCCTCGTTGATGGAATCAATGCTTCGGCAAGTTTCTTTTTGAATGTGGCTTTAAGCCGAGTGAAGCGGATCCATGTCTATATGTTAAAAAACAATTTGGTTATGCAAGGAAAATTCTTAAACTTTTCAGATTTGAAGAATGTAAACCAGTTCACACCCCAATGCTTAAAGAAAATGATAACAATCAATCAGACATAGCAGGTTCAGAATACCCTTTTCGACAACTAGTTGGAGCATTAATGTACCTGATACTAGGTACAAGGCCAGACATTGCATACAGCATTAGCTATTTATCACGCTCCCTCGAGAACCCAACACCAGGAGATATAATAAAAAAAAATGAGTGCTTAGATACTTAGCAAGGAACATCGGTCCGGGGCATTTTGACAGAATCAGACAGACCAAAAGGAGTTTTCAATGGTTTCAGTGATTCAGATTTTGGAGGCTGTAGAAAGACTGGACGTTCGACCACAGGTATTGCAATGATATATGCAGGAGGCATAATATCATGGATTAGTCAACGACAGGCCATAGTTGCAACATCTACAACAGAGGCTGAGATCATCGCTGCGACAGAAGCTGTCAAAAAAATAATTTGGCTTCAAAGATTATTCAATCTTGCAAGTTGACAACAGTGCTGCAGTCAAATTAGCTCAGAACCCACAATTTCATCGGCGAACAAAACACATTGACTTGAAGAACTTTTTTATTAGAGAAAAAATTCATGATGGAACGGTTGATATCACACAAATTTCAACAAGTGATCAAGTCGCTGATGTGATGACAAAGCCACTGGACAGAGTCAGACTGAAACTCCTGTGTGGACATATGAGACTAATGTCATAAAATGTTTTGAAACAAGGGAAAGTATTGAAATAATATATATGTATATTATATATGTTTCAATATATTTATGACTTTCCATAGTTTCAGACAATCTTATATTATTGCTAACTTGGCTAACTTGCACGTGTATGTTTTTTCGCTTTTCGTCGACTAACGTTTCTTTTAATATTTCAATTAACGTTTCTTTAATAAACAATTATATTAAAAACAAACAAAGACGTTTTTTTATCTTAAACAATATGCAATAATTTTAATACAATGTTTGTTAATATAAACAAAATTTTGAACATACTTAATTTTGTTGATGATAATTTACTAAGACTAAGACAAATTGAAAAACTCAAATATAAGTTGATAAACACTAATAAATCGGTGGTATATATATATATATATATATATATATATATATATATATATATATATATTAATATAATATAATGTTTGTGTGTGTGTGTGTGATAAATATATACAGGTTATAAATAATAAGAAACACAAAATGTGGACCTGAATTGTATGACAGTCACTAGCTTGACCAAGGATTTCAAGTAGTGCTGGATCTGACACGAAAAAAAACCTTGGAAATATGGCGCGTTTGCATTCAAGATATCTAAAAATTTGATAATCATAATTTTTTTTAATAAAATAAATTCGAATGTTTTCTATCTGAATATTAATTGCTTGAATGATAATGTACACAAAAATCTTTTAGCCAAAAAATTTGAATGATCCTCATTATATACTGCACTACATCTTTCAGCTTATGGGCAAAGTTGCCAAACAATGACATTGACGTTCCATTCTAACACAAAATATATTAACATTTTAGATAGTCGCACCTATGGTTTTTTATTTTGATTTTCTCACCACATAATCTTATAAATTTTTATTCAAACACTTTCATCACTACCAAATTTTATTTTTCACTTTTTATTCATGATAACATAAAAAGCTCTTCTCAACAAATTTCTGCCAATCTCAAAGAGAAACTGAGAAAAATTGTTGAGATTATGGACAGTGAAGGCTATGGACCAGACAAAAATCTATATAAATAGATTGATGACGTTGCGATGATCTTCCCATTGAGTGTACTTTTCGTTAATTTCTACGTCGGCGGCCTGGAGGAATCAATATACAGCAAAAAACAACAGCTTAAGCCCCGTATACTTCCGACGACATTTTCGTCGCATATGAGAGTTTTGAAAATTCAAAGAACAGATTGATGATTTCAACAAATACAAGCTAAAATTTACTAAGGAAAAAGCAGAAAACAACAAGCTACCACTCTTCGATGTTTTAGTACAAGGCAACGATACTGAATTCAAGACGTCGATTTGCACAATGGACTCAAACAAAAGTTAATGCCTGTATTGAAGAAGTGAATACTACAAGAAATCCCCATAGATTACAATCATATCGTTTGTAAACCGTGCCTACACATATTCATTGGACATAAAAAACAGAAACACAGAAATACAAAGAGCCTCCTCTGTTGCTAAATTAATTAATAGGAAAAATTTTAATTGCCCGTTGTTGAACATTTATTATCGTATGTCTATGTTCTATGAGTATTGATTCGGCTAGTTGTAAATTATAATGGTTGTTATTCAATGTAAGATTTCAACATTGTGGTCCAAGATTCGTCAGTAATTTTCTTCTAGTAGAATCAATAACCATAGAAAAAAGACATCCGATAATAAATATTCAACAACGGGCAATTAGAATTCTCCCTACCAATAAATTTAGAAACAGAAGAATCATCGATAATGAAAACAGGTAAAAGTGTTATATTTATCGATAATGAAAAAACGTAAAAGCGTTATTTATTTTATTTATTTATTTATTTATTCACAAAACCAGAGGGCTAAAAAGAAACCACTTATCCGGTAAGAAAAATGAAAAAAAAATGTTCGAAAGATGAATCGTACGTCTATGAATTAAGTAAAAACATAGGATAATAACAGAGATCGATGCACAATGATCTTAATGAATGATGAAAAAGTTTATAGTCAAACATAGAAGATAACTTCATAACTTAACAAATGTACTACTGATATTATAATTGGTAAATGATATGACAGTTATAGCCAACAGAGTTAGTTAGGCATATATGTAAATATTAAACGTAATTTAACAATAAATCACATTATAATTAAAAATCTATTTAAATCAATAGTGAGTAAATGATTTTTGAAGACAGCAAGTGAAGTTGAAGACACTACGTCTGCCGGCAATGCATTCCACACTCGGATAATCCGGATACAGTAGAAATATTTTGTTACGTTGTCTCCAGCGTTGAAATCTTGCAGTCGACATGGGTGATCGCGAGTTGACAGATAATGTGAAGGGATGAAAAAACCATTTAAATCTGTGTTGATGAGGTTGTGTAGTATTTTGTACAGCAAGCACAAATCAAGAACCAATCTACGCCGCTCAAGTGTTTGTAGTCCCACCGCTTGCAATCTAGACAAATATGGAAGATAACGAATTGTCGGAATGAATTTGGTAAATCTTCTCTGAACATTTTCAATCTTGGTTATTTGATATTTGTAGTGCGGATTCCATAGCGGTGAGCAGTATTCAAGTAGAGGACGTACATAACTGCAAAAAGCCTTCACAAGTAGATCCTTATTCTTAGATGTGAAACATTTGACGATTAAGCAAGCGCGGGAAGAAGCCTTGTGAGTGATGTTGTTGATATGCGCATTAAAGTTGAATTTGCTGTCCACTATCACACCAAGATCTCTGAAGTCATTTGTGCAACTGAGAAGATGTTGATCTATATAATATTGATGTGGAACTAATGTTGATCTCGAAGATGGAAGAAATGAGCAATGACAGCATTTACTCGGAGAGAGTGGCAACTGCCATTTGATGCTCCAAGCTGTTATATCGTTGATGGCCTGTTGAAGTTGAACTGAGTTGGATGAACGGCTGTATAATTTAATATCGTCAGCGAATAGCAAACTTGAAACTGAAATAGATAAAATGCGTTCAACAATGTCGTTAATGAAGACAATGAATAAAGTTGGACCCAAGACACTGCCTTGGGGGACACCACTGGTAACCGATACTGAATTGAATAATTTGTTTTGAATTCTAACAAGCTGGGAACGTTGAGACAAGAAGTCCGACAGCCAGGCAAGCAGATCACCAGCTATTCCATAGGATCTCAATTTTCCGACCAGTTTCGAGTGTGACACAGAATCAAAAGCTTTTTGGAAATCGAGGTAAATGGTGTCACAGCCTTCTTTGTTCTGACGAAGTGATATCCAGTCGCTGTAAAATTGCATTAAGTTGGTGCAGGTGATCTACCAGG